CAAATACACCACATCAACCGCTTTACCCTCATCCACCTGTTTGGTCAGGAGACAGGAGACCTAAAATCAACTGTCACCTGTGCCTGAACTGTTTGATTCAAAAATATCTATTGAATGCATTTTATTGCAAAGGCTTGCTGCAGGGTCTTCTCAATCATAAAGAACAAGAATTGGCAGGAACTGCTGTTCTCAGTTTTTGGAGCTAACTGCAATTTTAAGGTGAGAGGAGATAGATTTAAAACAACATTGGCGGCGGGGTGGGGAGTGGTTGTGGCAATGTTTTAGACAGAGGAAGTGATGGATTGTTCTGTTAATCAATCTTTCGTTATCAACTACTAAGGATCAGGTGCTATTGATAAATATCCTCATTTCCACCCAATGATCAATTTCATTTCCATTCTCACTCTCTCAGACATGAGATGTCTGGGTTCTTCATGGGCAACAACATTCCATATTATCACTGATCATTGTAATCTCTCGATTTTGGTTTAATTACCACAAAAAAAACAAATGACATCCTTCTCCATTATCTCAATATCAATGCTAATGTATCTCTGGGCTGTAAGCAAGTCAATAATGGCTTGTAGCGTTTTGATTAATTTTCAGTCATATTTTAATCTAGTTCCCAACTCAATTCAGTTTTATGTTTCTGCTCTAGAAGCACATTGCCATTCATGTATTTTGTCTCTTTCTGACATACATACAGACACACACACACAAGTGTTTTCTTTTAAAATATCACTGATTATTCACAAGTAGACAAGTAGTATAGTTGCTTGGTCGTCCACCATGCTAATTCCCAGATGCCTGCCTTCTCAATCCATGTCCTCCCTTGCCATTTCAATGTCATGTGTTATATTAACCTCACTCCAGTCACTTTCACATGCAATACACCACGTTCAGCAAAAGGCAACAACATACTTTCCTGCAACTGGAAGATGCTGGAAGTCAGAGCCAATAAAATGTGGTGCTGACGAAGCACAGCAGATTGCAGGAGCAGGAAAGTCGACGTTTAGGGTCTGGACCCTTCTGGTCCCCCTTCTCTCGGAAGGAAGTTATTAAATTGGAAGGGGTGCTTGGATGTTACCTAGACTAGAAGGTTTGAGTTATTGGAGGGGCTGGGTAGACTGGGACATTTTTCACTGGAGGTTGAGGGCTGACTTCTGCAACTCATGAGGGGTATAGATAAAGTGAATAGTCAATGTCTTTTGCCGAGGGTAGGGGAGTCCAAAACAAGACAGCATAGGTTTAAGGTGAGAGAGGAAAGATTTAAAAGGAACATGAGGGGCAAAGTTTTGACACAGAGGCTGGTGTGTATATGGAATCAGCTGCCAGAGGAAGTGGTAGAGGTAGGTACGATTACAACATTTAAAAGACATTTGGACAGGTACATGAATTGGAAAGGTTTAGAGGGATATTGGTCAAACATAGGTAAAATGGACTAGTTCAGATTAGAATACCTGGTTGGTTTGGATGAATTGAGCCAAAGGGTCTGTTTACGTGCTCTATGACTCGATGACTCTATAATCTGGCATGGAAGTCAAGCAGAATTCAATTGATTGGCATTCAGACAGGAAAGCAGAAGCCTGCAGCTGGTTTCCAAATAAATTCATGTAAACTATGATGATATCTACACCAGGCCTCAGATATCTCAAAATTCAATTTGAAGGAGTTAAAACCAGGTGCTGTCCATTCCTCAAACAACAAGAAGATGTCCCTGATACTCAGGAGAGAACTGATTATGGTCATGGAGAGTGCAATATTCCAAGAGAACATTTCAAGCTTTGAAGTGACTTCGTGGATCCTCTTGCACTAACATTCCAGGGTTAAATAAATGCCTCGGCTGCGGCTGTTTTCAGGCCATGATCTGTATTGAATTCAGGCATCCAGTAGGAGTTTCTGGTGCTGGTGGGGAGGGCTGTTGTGACTTCAATACAGTTGTGTTTGTACCTGGGGAGGAGACCAATTAATATCTTTACCATCTCTGACCACACAGAAACAAATGGATTGTGCCCAATGTTATTTGCTTTCTTGCAGGGTGTTGTGCCTCTCACTAGAATACAAAACCTTTATGCTTATGCAACAGTTTGGGTTATTCAAATTTCAAAATTTCCTTCTAATTGCACCCTGGGTGATAGAGTCAGGTTATCATGAAAGTAAACTGGAACCTCAATGATATTTTCCTACAATTCAGTCGGTTTGGAGGGTTGGGTGTCAGATCAGCGATTTTCTTTATTTCACCCGAGAGCACATGGGACATAGAAGGAATTAGCAGCTTGCATGAGCTCTTGCAAATCTAATACTGAATCAATAGCATGGGGATGTGGTGAAGGGCCCAATATACATGAGATCAAGTGTGGGATCTGGCTGAGGGCAGAACAATGGGAGAGGGAATCATGAACAAGGAAGGATAAAATTGGTGTCATGGCTGTAGGCGGGGAATGGTGCAGAAGTCAGTCAATGTACGTAAATGATGACCTAGAAGTTTAGAGCTCAGGACTCACTGAAAGTGTACTCATCTCAATGTATTTGCTGGATGACTCCTGAAAAGGCTTTGATGCTCACCAACCACAGGATTTTAAACGGAAAATGAGTTGACGTTGTGCAGAATCTAGATGATGTGGGAGTGTCCAATCCTGGACAGCCCTAAGACTTGGATTTACCATGGTGCATCCAGTCCAATCTTGGAGTCAACATGTGAAGACTGTGGCTGTGGCTATTTGTCAAGCTGAAAGTAGGACTAGTATAGATTTAGAACAGTTGTTTTAAGGTGCAGACTCAATAGGCCGAAGAGCCACTTCTGTACTGAATAATACTACACTTTCATGACTATGCAATACATTATTCTATTGCAGATTGCCTATTGCTGCAACATGTATAGCGATCCAATTGGTCTATACCAGCACACAGTATACAACCCAAATCTCTTAGCATCATTTCAATATTAACAGCCTGATCTACCTACTCTCCCATCTGTTAAAACTGGAATGGAACAGAATGGACATGGGTGAATATTGTGGTTGTGGTTATGTAAATTCAGAAATTTTTCCAAACAATAATTTTTGAGTACTAAATAAACAGCCCCTAACAGTTGTGCATAGAGACAGAGAAAATATGATCAGTATTTTTAAGCTTATGTTCACCTCTCTGTCAATTCTTACAGTCAATTTAATGGCGGTAGGCATCCTGTCCCGAAGAAAGTGTGGCCTCTCCAACTGCACAACTTGCTATCTGGTGGCCATGGCGACAGCAGATCTAATAGTCATTATGACTGAGATTATACTGAGGCGTTTTCGTTATTATTATTACAGGAACAGTGGTTTACTCCTGCATTTTCTGGACATTACTCCTATGTGCAGTGTTCTGTATGTCCTGCATCGTGCAGCCATAGATTGTTCCGTCTGGTTCACCATCACATTCTCCTTTGACCGATTTGTAGCTATTTGTTGTAGGAAGTTTGTAATCAAATATTGCAACCAGAAAACTTCATTTGCAGTGTTAGTGACAACCTGCATTCTGCTCTGTTTCAAAAATCTTCCCTTTTATTTTAGATTTGAAGCTAAAATGTTAATCAACAATGTGCCATGGTTCTGTTTGAATAAGCCAAGCTATTTTACTGACCCTGGATGGATTGGCTTTAAGATTATTGATAAGATTTTAACCCCATTGATCCCATTCACTTTAATTCTGTTGCTCAACGCTTTGACAGTCAGGCATATTTTACTGGCCAGTCAAGTCCGTGCGGCACTGAGGAGTCAGACTAATGGACGGAATTGTGGTGATCCAGAGATGGAAAATAGAAGGAAGTCAGTTATGTTACTCTTCACCATATCTGGCAGCTTCATACTTCTGTGGTTTGTGAACGTTTTGTATTTCTTTAATATTACACATCACTTCGATTACAATTCTTTTTATATCTTTGAACAGTGTGGATATATGCTGCGGAACTTGAACTGCTGCACAAACACATTTATTTATGTGGTGACCCAGTCCAAGTTCAGATACCAATTGAAGAGTGCGATGAAATATCCACTTAAATCTATTGTTCGTTTAATTAACTATCAGAAGCCTTAGAGCATCCTACGATCCAATGCATGAGGCGCAAGATCTGACAGGATAATGACCAGAAAGAAATGATGACTGAGAATGAAGAAACACAATAATGAGGTAAGAGGCAACAGGTGGCTGCTAAGAACAAAGACAGAACCTGCCTATATGGGTACAAAGCCCTAAAGACCTGTGAATCACGGGGATGTATCTCTGGAGCACTGAATTATGCAAGCAAGATGAGTCCAAGAAACCAAACATCTGTACTATAGGGCAACAGGTGACATTTGCAAGTCCAGAAACAACGGATACAGGGCCTATATCAGCACCCACTAAATTGAGTAGTCATAGAATCCCTTCGGCGTGGAAACAGGCCCTTCGGCCCAACAAGTCCACACCTACCCTCAGACACCCCACACAGATCCATCCCCCATAACCCACCTAATCGACGCTATGGGCAATTTAGCATGGCCAATCCAATCCTAGCCTGCACATTTTTGGACTGCGGGAGGAAACCAGAGTACCGGAAGGAAACCCCGCAGACACAGGGAGAATGTGCAAACTCCACACAGTCGCCCGAGGGTGGAATTGAACCCAGGTTTCTGGTGCTGTGAGGCAGCAGTGCTAACCACTGAGCCACTATGCCACCTTGATGAAGAGACTTGCTGGCTCCTCCAACTCGTTCACCTCCCATCGGCTCAGAAATGAAACCAAACTGTTCCCACCGAACTAAATTGCTTCAAATGCTTGAAATCAAATAATGGCAGAATAGTTATAGCACAAGAAGTGTCCATTCTGTCAGTCATGTTTGGGCTAGCTCTACGGACAAATCCCCCACTTTCCCCATTTTATTCTACATGTTATAACTTCGCAAATATTAATCTAAATTTATTTTGCATGACTTGATTTAACATTTCCGATCTTAACCACTCACTGTATCAATAGTTTTTTTTAATTTCCCAACAGCTTGCTTTGCCAAATAAATTTAATCAGAGTGTTATTGTTCTTGATCCTTCCATCAATGGTAAGATTTTCTCCCTTTAGACTCTGTCCATAATTCTCCTGATGTCAAGTATGTCTCGCAAATATTCCATCAACATTTCCTTCTCCAGCATAAACAATCTGAAGTACTCCTGAAGCTCCTTGTCCCTGGAACTATTCTTAACACATACGTTGAAATCCGTCTTGGACTGGAGCAGCAGAACTAGATAAAATATCTAGTTGAGGATGAATCAGAGCTGTATCCAGTGTTTAAACAACTTGGTTACGTGTGTTCTTCAAACTCTTAATATAGATGTTGCATGCATTATTGTCCCGCTTTCTCAATCCGCATTGGCATCTTTAACAATTATACAGATATCAACGAGATTCCTCTTTTTCTCTTCTCTATTAGGTTTGTAAAGTTACGTTCCACAAAAAAGACTTCACACCTCCCTGCATCAACTTTCATTCAGCACATCTACACTCATTCCTCCAGAATCACAGCCTGTTGTAATGTAAAAACAGGCAATTTGTCCCCTCATTACTGCACCATCTATGCGAATGAGCATTTCACGTGGTGACAATCTTGAGCCTACACCCCATGATGTTGCATTTTCCATTTATCAAATAACATTATAATCCCTATTTGAATTTTTCAGTTGAAACTTGCTGACAATGCAACCAGTTTTTTTAGAGAAAAGCAAGCTATTTTTCATCAGCTTCTTCAAACAACAAAGAACAAAGAAAATTACAGCACTGGAACAGGCCATTCGGCCCTACAGCCTCCGCCAATCCAGATCCTCTATCTAAACCTGTCGCCTATTTTCCAAGGATCTGTATCCCTCTGCTCCCTGCCCATTCATCTATCTGTCTAGATACATCTTAAATGACACTATCGTGCCCGTCTCTACCACCTCTGCTGGCAAAGTGTTCCAGGCACCCACCACCCTCTGCATAAAGAAATTTCCACGCATATTTCCCTTTAACTTTTCCCCTCTCACCTTGAAATCGTGACCCCTAGTAATTGAGTCCCCCACTCTGGGAAAAAGCTTCTTGCTATCCACCCTGTCTATACCTCTCATGATTTTGTAGAGCACAATCAGGTCTCCCCTCAACCTCCGTCTTTCTAATGTAAATAATCCTAATCTACTCAACCTCTCTTCATAGCTAGCGCCCTCCATACCAGGCAACATCCTGGTGAACCTCCTCTGCACTCTCTCCAAAGCATCCACATCCTTTTGGTAATGTGATGACCAGAACTGAACGCAGTATTCCAAATGTGGTCAAACCAAAGTCCTATATAACTGTAACATGACCTACCAACTCTTGTACTCAATACCCCGTCCGATGAATGAAAGCATGCCATATGCCTTCTTGACCACTCTATCGACCTGCGTTGCCACCTTCAGGGTACAATGGACCTGAACACCCAGATCTCGCTGTGCATCAATTTTCCCCAGGGCTTTTCCATTGACCGTATAGTTTGCTCTTGAATTGGATCTTCCAAAATGCATCACCTCGCATTTGTCTGGATTGAACTCCATCTGCCATTTCTCCACCCAACTCTTCAATCTATCTGTATTCTGCTGCATTCTCTGACAGTCCCCTTCACTATCTGCTACTCCACCAATCTTTGTGTCATCTGCAAACTTGCTGATCAGACCATCTATACCTTCCTCATTTATGTATATTACAAACAACAGTGGTCCCAACACGGATCCCTGTGGAACACCACTGGTCACAGATCTCCATTTTGAGAAACTCCCTTCCACTACAATTTTCTGTCTCCTGTTGCCCAGCCAGTTCTCTATCCATCTAGCTAGTATACCCTGGACCCCATGCGACTTCTCTTTCTCCATCAGCCTACCAGGGGAACCTTATCAAATGCCTTATTGAAGTCCATGTATATGACATCTACACTCCTTCCCTCATCTATCAACTTTGTCACTTCCTCAAAGAATTCTATCAAGTTGGTAAGACATGACCTTCCCTGTACAAAACCATGCTGCCTATCACTAATAAGCCCATTTTCTTCCAAATGCAAATAGATCCTATCCCTCAGTATCTTCTCCAGCAGCTTCCCCACCACTGACGCCAGGCTCCCTGGTCTATAATTACCTGGATTATCCTTGCTACCCTTCTTAAACAAGGGGACAACATTAGCAATTCTCCAGTCCTCCAGGACCTCACCCATGCTCAAGGATGCTGAAAGATATCTGTTAAGGCCCCCACTGTTTCCTCTCTCGATTTCCTCAGTAACCTGGGGTAGATCCCATCCGGACCTGGGGACTTGTCCACCCTAATGCCTTTTGGAATACCCAACACTTCCTCCTTCCTTATGCCGACTTGACCTAGAGTAATCAAACATCTATCCCTAACCTCAACATCCATCATGTCCCTCTCCTCAGTGAATACCAACGCAAAGTACTCATTAAGAATCTCACTCATTTTCTCTGACTCCTCACATAACTTCCCTCCTTTGTCCTTGAGTGGGCCAACCCTTTTTCTAGGTACCCTCTCGCTCCTTATGTACAAATAAAAGGCTTTGGGATTTTCCTTAACCCTGTTTGCTAAAGATATTTCGTGATCCCTTTTAGCCCTCTTAATTCCTCAAGTCAGATTGGTCCTACTTTCCCGATATTCTTCCAAAGCTTCGTCTGTTTTCAGTCGCCTAGACCTTCTGTATGCTTCAGTCGCCTAGACCTTATGTATGCTTCAAAGGCATTACAACTGAGCAGGTTGAACTTGAGTGTAAGCCTTCTTGCCTAGAGGTAGGGACCCACCCTCTGCCTCACAAGAAACCCCAAACCTTTTTCTCCCTCCCTCTGCAAATGCAAGAAAACCAGCACTAAAATACATTGAAAAGAAGGGGAAAGAAAACTTTTAAGTCAAGCAAAGACCTACGTCCAATTGACCAAACAGTGAATTGAAGAACTTCTGCAATCAACAATAAGGTGAACTTTTCCCCTAAGAACTAAAAGAAAGGCACATCATTCCACACTTAGGTGTTGGATTCCTAATCAACAGAAGTCATTACTCTCACTTTTTCTTCAGCTACGATATTTCTGCATGCTTTTCTGTCTTGTCTGTCTGGCTTGTGAGTACATGTGTGTACATGTTCCGATTCAAAAAGGATACACTGCGAATTTATGTATTAATCAATAATCACTATTTTGCCACTTGTTAATTGATAGATTCATTATTATAAAGGGTTTTGACATTTTTTAATTGGCGAAAGGTTTGTAAGTTTCTCACACCTGAGATGATAATCAAATGTGAGCACATTAAAAATGTGAGCGATTTTGTGGCTATGTGCATATTTCTGACAACTTGCAGAATAATGGGGCTTTAATTTCAGCATCCCCTCCCACCAGTGTCATAACAATGCTGCCCAGCATTGCTTATTGATATCTATCCCTTATGTTACACTGTCCCTGATGCCTCAAAATTATTTTAGTCAGGTTAAAGATTTATATACTATTCTCCTCACAGTTCCTACTGTTATCAACTTTTATAAAACCTGCAAATATTTAAATTGATCCATGTACTCAAAGTTTCGGTCATCAGGAATAAACCAGAATTAGAACCTTGAAGTCCTGAGAATTCCACTTCAGACTTTCAGAAAAGGATGTTGATTAAGCTCTTCTCTTAGTTCCTCTTACTTAGAGAAATTGAGCCATACAGCATGGAAACAGACCCTTCGGTTCAACCAGTCCATGCCAACCATAATTCCAAACTAAACTAGTGCCACCTGCCTGCTTCTTGCCCATATTCCTCCAAACCATTCGCATTCATGTACTTACCCAAATGTCTTTTAAATGTCACAATTGTAACCCAAAATCCACCACTTCCTCAGGAAGTTCGTTCCACACATGAACCACCCTCTGTGCAAAAAAAAGTCCCTCATGTCTTTTTTAAATATCTCTCCTATCACGTTAAAAATGTACCCTCTCGAATTGAAATCCCTCATTATAGGGAAAAGACACAACTACCATTAAATACCCCTCAAACATAGAATATAGAACAGTACAGCACAGTACAGGCCC